ATTTCCCATAGTACCATTCTCGGATCATATCATATTGATGTTTAAGAAATTGATGTCTCACCTGGTTAAGTAAATAGCAACCACCAGGTGTTCGACAAAATGTCACAAAGAAACATATCTGTAATTAGCATCTAACAACATTACAAACTTTGTTTAATTGATGCAAGTATAATTTATGAGATTTACAAAATTGAGAATGAATAACCTGGTAAAATTGTAGTTATTTGCACTCAAACACATGTATTAACTTCGATAGGACACATGTAATCTGTAGTCAAGTTTAACATACTGAACCTGTTGCGTGATGTAAGTCTCAGTTTACAAGCTATGCTTACTTTATCTTCATTCAAAAAGTATAATTTCTATCCTTTTTTGTTCTCTGAATATGATTTTTTAAACATTTAAATTCAGTTAAAGGGTTGAAGAACATGCATGCTTGCCATTTCACTCTGTCTAAGTTTTTGTAAGTTGATATATCTTTTTAGTTTATACTTATGCATCACTGAGGTTAACAGGTGCAAAAACGGTAAATGATAAAAAAAATATGGATTCCAAATTTCCAACTAAACAAAACTTTTTCACTGTAGAAATTTTGGAGCTGTAACTGTACAACGATCATCAAACCTCCGGTTTTCACTCAAGTGTTCTTCCCAAAAAGTTCAGATGGAAAGTACTGGGCAAAGTGATGCAAGAGGTGCTCTTATTGTTCTAGAAGGTTTGGATCGAAGTGGGAAGACCTCACAGTCTGCAAGGCTTCTTTCACACTTAAATGGTCTTGGGTATCCAGTAGAATCATGGCGGTTTCCTGATAGAGATACTGCAGTGGGGAAAATGATTTCTTCTTATCTTACTAATCAATCTCAGTTGGATGATCACACAATTCATCTACTCTTCAGTGCAAATCGTTGGGAGAAAAGGTTGAGTTTGCTTTCATGGTGCATTTGAAACGATTCTTGATTTGATTGTTGTTCTTATACAGATCATTGATGGAGGCTAAGCTTAAAAGTGGGACTTCCCTGATTGTTGACCGGTATTCTTATTCAGGTGTGGCTTTCTCATCTGCCAAAGGGCTTGATATCGAATGGTGTAAGGTCAGATTCATAGGCTTAAATGCTTAATCCTATTTTCCAAGTTGCTACTGGTTTTTGAAACACACTGTTGTTGTGGTGGTGCAGGCTCCTGAGGTAGGACTGCTGGCACCTGATCTGGTTATGTACCTCAACATACCTCCGGAAGTAATTTTTTTATTTTTTAAATTTTTTATGGATGAACTTTTAGATGGTTTTTTTGTTTGGCAATATGTTTATGGTATGATGGGATTTTGTAGAAAGCTGCTGAAAGAGGTGGGTATGGAGGCGAGAGATATGAGCAGCTGGAGTTTCAGAAGAGTGTTGCCAAGTATTATGAGATGCTTAGTGATCCATCATGGAAGGTAACAAAAAAAGTTGTTTTAAAATCAAGGCTTTTGTTGTTTCACATAATTTGGTTCTGATGAACATGGTCATGATTTCATAACAGATGATCGATGCATGCCTCCCTTTGGAAGATGTTGAGGAACAGATGAAGGAGATTGTTTTAGATTGTGTAGTCTCTTGCCAAAAAGGGAAACCACTTACTCACCTCTGGTTGTCGTAGTAATTTCATTTATGCCATGGGAAATGTATGTCAAAGTGTTGAATAATCATATATCACTAGTCGCTACATCATTTATCTTGTCTAATTTCATTCAAATTATGAGCTGTCATGTTTTAAATTTTAAATGATTCCAAAGTTATCGGTTTCTACTTTGAAGCTATTGTATACTTGATCTGTTTTTATGGCCAGGGAATGAGAACCTAGAGAGAGTCTTCGTATATTGAAGGATCTCATGGTCACACCTACTGATGGTGACAGTGGTGGTACGTGGTGTATCTTTAATTATTCACGTATGACATCTGTCAAATATACAACGCAGGATCCTATTCCTTTCCCTTTCAATTAAGTAAGGGCCCCCATTTACTTTTTCAGATGTGTCTAAGATGGGTACATCTGTCCCTCATCTATACTGGGTATATATTTCTTACTTTATACTTGTTTAACATCAAGTACATAAACCAGATAAAATGCGTTATGATATAATGAGTTACGTCAGGTAGGTTGTGTCAAAATCTAAGGTTTTAAAAAGTTTGTTATGATGTGTTATCACTTCAATATTTGTATTTAACTTCAATATTTGTATTTAACCCTTATGTTTTAACAAAATGTCATCTTAAATTATGTATATAAAAATAAATAATATATATATATATATATATATATATATATATATATATATATATAATTTTTGTCTCATGTCTTACTAACAATGTGGTTTGTAACAGCTCGTAAATATTTAAAACTTGACATTGCCATCAAATAATGCTATTTAGAATCTTAAAAATGTCAAAGAATGGTTGTAGAAAGAAAATGAAAGACTTGAGTTGCATATTATTTAGGGTATGCATCTCTATTATTAGAGTATTGAATTGAATGGTTAAGTTATATTATGATTTTAAAAATGACCAACTCATCATTCCACTAATATTAATCTATTATTAAATAACATTTTTAATAGTTATTCTTTTTAAATAGTTTTTTTTTTTTTTTTTTTTTAAATATTTAATTAGTGTATTATCATCTATCTAAAATGTTCTATTGAACCCTTTTAGTTAATTCCTTATTTTCTCAACAAAATGTCACAATAAACAAAAATATAAATACAATTATGTAAGATTTTTATTTTATATACATAAAATACAAAAAAAGTTATTAGGTCATAGTTATAAAAATAAAAAGATTGAAAATATTATATAGTTGACATAATATATATATATATATATATATATATATATATATATATATATATATATATATATATATATATATATATATTAAATGAATTATTATTAATTTTTTAATAAAAACAATTAATTAGTAAAGAAATAAATATCTAAAACTAAAACATAATTAAGGGATAAAATAAAATACAATTAAAGAATAAAAGATTAGATGAACTAAGTATAACAATATATCAACCATTTAACATACGTTGAATGATCACTATAAATAAACCCATGTTCAAATAATTTTAAGTAGCTAATAAAATAAACAAATACTAATAAGCTAAAAAAAAAAAACTTTCATCATCGAAGACGTTCTTAAAAACAAAGTTATGGAGATATTTTCAATCAATGTTACCAAAACAAGTGTCCAGATGTGACAACCTCAATCTCTGTGATCTTATCAAATCAAAACTATGGATAAGTTATCCTTGTTTATTTATTTGTTAGGTAAACATATATATGTTTATACATATCTATCTCTCTTAACCAAGTTATGTAACATCTATATAAAACATACAAGCATGATCAATGATGTACACTTACTTTGTGTAACGACTGAAGTGAGAATTCATGTGGATGGTAATCACTTATTTATAAAATAACTTCCTCAACAAACATAATTTAGATTTAACTTATATACGATCAATCATAGTAGATAAATGATCAGTTTTATGCATAAAAATACATTATCATATACTTTTCTATTTTCTATCAAGTCTGTACGCATAAAATAGTTTGTTGTATTATTATAAGATTATATGACTTTTAACTTTTAATTTGAGTATTTGGCGACCTCTCAATTTATGAACTTAGTAAAACAATCCCTTAGTTATTATCGAAAAAGATAAAATAAGCATTAATTAAATGTTATTTTTTGATGAATCATACTATGTGATGACATGTGAAAACGATGTGATGTTATAGTAATGAGAGGGGAATACTAGGGAGAAGTAAATATATAAGAAATCAAATCCAAATGGCATACGTACTCTAGAGGTGTTCATTAAAGCATAAAAAAGAAATACTAAGAAAATCTGGAACCAATGATCATTGGATTTTAAAGACATCAATGGTGTTCAGTTTGGTCAAATGACACTCATTTCTAAAATTTTTGTGTATTATTCTCTCAATTTCCCAAATTAAATTTCTAACTTTATAATGATAGCTATTGCTATCTCTTCACCACCTAGCACCAGTCTTTTTATGTCTCGTAACTATAAAATGTACTAAATCGATTTCATATTATATATGTAGTTGCTTCTATTAATAACAAATGGTAAATATGTCACAAAGAGAAAAGTCTTCATGGCTCATGCCCCCGACCATGACCAAAATTTTCCTACTTGTGTCCTCTCATGTTTCTCAGGTATGTTCATTCTAGCTAGCTGTATAGTTTTAGCCGGTTATAAGTACTCATATCTAAAGTCATATATACATGCTTAAATGCTTTCTTTTTCCTTACTTCTGAATTTGTTTCATATTATACAAAATAATGGTGTCAAGGGAGTCTAATTAATTTCTTCTTATGGTTATTGCACATTAAAACAAAACTACTTGATGTCAAAAACAAATCATCATAAATATTTTATGTACTGTATATATTGTAACTTGTATATGGATACACTTCAGGTAATGATATCAAATCTTGCATCTATATTAATTCTTTATCATATAAAGCCATATATTACATTAATTAGCAAGATAAAGGTCAGCAAAGAAAGAAATGCAACTTAAAATATCTTAAACATATATATGAAATCTCCAGTTTTGAGATCATAAATACTATATTTAATTGATCGAAGCTTGAACAAAGCAGCCAGTTTGTTCTTATCCTTGTACAGATTTTATACTGTAGCTGACAATAATCCATGATCTAATTATTATCATATGCAGATATATATAGAGAAAATATTGAACACAATCAGTCGTTGAAAACTCATAGATTGAGCAATTTTCAGCAACGATGGGTTAAGTTGGATCAACATCTGAAGAAGTTGATACGGATAGTCACCGAATTCAATATTTTCTCATGGTATATGCATCTCTATGATCTACTTGATTATGGAGGTATGGTATAAAGTTTTAATTCGATTGATCAAGTTACCTGTTGAGAAATTTGAGTTTGATCGAATTAGTTAATTAATTCAATGGCCCCAAGCTCAAGGCAGATTTGACATCCAGCCGCCATGCAAAGCCACCGGAATCCATCTTGCAGACGTCGCAGGGCACCATCATCTGCGTCTTCTTCTCAGATAATCGGTACACAATTCTGACTCTGCATGAGAAAGCTGGCAGGTATTTTACCACCATGGATTTTTCCACTTTTACCCCCAGCCACACCGCCACCTCAGTCGCCGGTGCTCGACCTTCTGAATTCAGATCCAGCATCCTCCGGTATGCCGGATTCACCCACAGGACCTCATCGAAACTGTTCGATATGAAACCTGGACAGCTATCACTCTCTAGATTCTTCCATATCTCTTCATCCGTGTAGCCTAACAACCTCCGATCCTCACACGTGCCGGTAACTGATTCCAGAGTGATCCAAGACTCCACTACCTTCCTTTGCTGCATCGCCATCGCCAGATCTACGCCATGCAGATCTGATGACAATTGCTTCGACGGAGCAGAATCAATTAAATTATTCATAAAACTTTTTGTGTTGTTACCAGGTAAACCGAAGCTGATCCAGTTCGAAACGTTCTGCAACGGATCTGAAACAACAAGCTCATTTCCTTTGGAATCCTCGAGCATCGCAACAGCTTTCTCCAAATCGAACCAGCTGCTTTTGTTATCGTTTATCGTCAAACTACACCCAGTCGCGTTACTCTTCCTCTTCTTCACTCTCACGTACTTCCTCTTCACTCTCTTCCTCTTAAGCATCCCATCCTTCGTCCGTAACGACTGACCGGAACTCTCAGCAGTAACCGGCCTCGGAGCGATCGGACGGTACTTCAACATGATCTGATCGATAATCAGATTATCCCTGCCACCGGCGGTGGCGACGCATCGGGAGTCAACGCGCCTCTTTCCACCATCCATACCTACCTTCCGAGCCTTATCTCTTCATCTAGATTCTCTCTCTCTAGAAAAGAAACCGGAAATAATCCCGGGCGGAGGGCAATCATGATGGATTAAGATGAAAACGGTCGCCGGTTACACGTGTCTAAGGCAACAAATAGCATCAGGAGGCCGTGATTGGTTGTTAGAGATTATTGTTGGGTCCCACAACCAAAAAGAAGCGTGTGAGGGAGCTGATTGGCTGGCGAACAGTAGAACAACACGTACCGGAGAGCACTTCCCCATAAAATAAGGACACGTATATGCTTTGCCATGAAACAAAGCGTAAGTGCTTCTTTGTCAGACGAGAGACGCGTGTCCCCTATCACGATATTTCAAATCCTTTTTTTATCTGTTGTACGCGCCCAATAAGGAGCGTGTGTCGTGTGGATTTAATTATTTATTCAAAATTTGCACCTTGTTTAAGTCACAGTTGATATTATATGAATATGAGGTATAAAACTGTAAATAAAAACAAACGGCTATTCTAGAAATTATGAATATCGTTTTTAAAAGAAATTATATTATATTAGATATTCTTTGGACAAGTATCTTGCATGGGTTTTGTTTGAACATCATTTAATGTGGACCGTTATATATATATATATATATATATATATATATATATATATTATATATATATATTATATATATATATATATATATATATATATATATATATATATATATATATATATATATATATATATGTAGGTTATCGTTGTATTATTATACTAGGTTTAAACCCGTGGAAATCCACGGGTGATAAATTGAAATATAATTATAGTTTTTAATTTGTAACAAAAAAAAGATATGAAAGTTTAGAAAAAATGAAGAATAGTGATATTAGCATTAATATGAATAAATCAAATACAAAAAAGTTGTAAAAATTAATTAATTAATATGATAGATGAAGTACGATACAAGAAAAGTAAATAAAAGATGGTAGAAAAGTAAATAAAAGATGGTAGAAAAGCATTGTTTATAAATTCCCAAAAACTTCCTTATAAACGACATTGGAAGTTTTATTTGTGAGACTACCATCCTTATCTAAAATTAACAATTTTAATCCGTCCCTACTTTGGACTCTAGATAAAGCAACATACAATTGGCCATGTGAAAACACGGGATGTTTGAGAAACAAACCAACCTTGGATAATGACTGTCCCTGACTCTTATTAATGGTCATTGCAAAACATACAGCCAATGGAAACTGTCTTCTTCGAAATTTGAATGGAATTTTCTTTTCTGATGGAGTTAGAGACATTCTTGGAATAAAAGTGTGGTTTCCAATATTAGTTCCAGATATGATACGTGCCTCAATAACACGTTTGCCCAATGAAATCACCTGGAGTCTTGTTCCATTACACAAGCCGTTTTTCTGATCAATATTTCTCAGCAACATAACTGGAACACCGATTTTTAAAACTAACTTATGGTTTGGTAAACCTGATACTTTCAGACCATTTAAAACATCAGGTGAATATAAATTTGCATCAAATTGATCATGGAGAAATTCAGATTGGCATATACTATCTGAACTTAAGTATTCAACCTCATCTCCTGGAAATTTCAATAGCAAACGATCGTTTATTTCTTGAACCACTTCGTTCTTTGGAGCAAGTATTGCTCTTTCTTGAAAATAGCTTGTATTGTTGTACTTTTCCAAAATCGAAGGATATACAAACTCGATTAATGAACCTATAGGATCATGTGCATCATTAATGAGAATATCATCTGGAATATCAATAACCGTTTCTCCATCGTTGATACCACCAAGTTTGCCTTCTCCTATATCCAACAACCAATTTGCAAAATCTCCGATTTTTTCTATATCAGATTGATCCCTTCCAACACTTAGTCTCATGTTTTTTGTTAATTTATGGATCTTGCAATGTTGCCATAAATATGAAGAACTTAACGAAGCATTAACAATGTTTTGTCTACTTCCACCTGGAATAACAGGTAAGATCTGTCTAAAATCTCCTCCAAAAACAATAACTTTCCCTCCAAACGGAATATCTGAGTTGCTAGAATTTTCAGACTTGAATACATCTTTCAAACTTCGATCTAAAGCTTCAAATGCGTGCTTGTGGACCATAGGAGCTTCATCCCAAATTATCAATGAGGTTTTTCTCAATAAGCTTGCAAGGTCACTATCTGGATTTATTCTACAAACAGAATCCTCTGTTAGTTCAAATGGAATTATAAATCGGGAGTGTGCTGTTCTACCTCCGGGCAATAATAATGAAGCAATCCCACTTGAAGCAACATTTAGAACAATATGACCATCTTTTCTAATAGCGGCAGATATTGTCTTCCATAAAAAAGTTTTACCAGTTCCACCATAACCATAAACAAAGAAGACACCTCCTTTATTTTCTTTAACTGCACTCATGATATCAAGGAAAATGTGACGCTGCTCATTTGTCAATGCAAGAAACATACGATCAAACTCGGTCTTCATAGCGGTAATGTCATATTCTAGCTCCTCGGTGATAAGTCGATTGTTTGAAGAAGAAACAGAATCAAGATCCGGGATAGGCATGTTTTTATAATTTTTTAGACTCGAGTTATTCCGAAGTAAAACTTGTTCTATCTCGAACAAAGTTAAGTTCTTAAGCTGATCTTCATTGAGTGATAAGTCTGGAGGACAAAGAGCTAAGTAATTAGAAATATTATTAACAATATTTATTTATAATTAAAAGTATTATTTAATGTATGTTTAAAAATAAATAAATGACTACTTAAATAATAATAATAATAATAATAATAATAATAATAATAATAATAATAATAATAATCTTTAATACCTGGAGACTTGAATCTATGTCGTTGGTTATAAAGAATTCCATCTGCCAAATATTCCCATGTGTTTTCCCAAACAACCTCCGGTTTAGACATACTGTTACACATCAACAATGTAGCAAATAAGAATCGTAGGTAAAAACCAGATCCAGAATGACTTGCTTCTTTGATTGCATCGATGTATTCATTGTCATCATCCAAGAGCCCAAGAGCATAACAAGCATCTCTAAAAGAAGAATATTCTTCACCATTTACTGTGCGAATTTCTTCAAATGATTTCGGACCTTTCACCTTATTTAACAAAATCCTTAGGAAATAAGCTTCCCCTAGTTTAGGTGAAACCGAATGAATTCTACCAATGCACTTTCCTACTTCCCTTGGCTTCCAAATCCTATCACCACGATTCCAAACAAACTTTGTAGGAAATTCAACATACGTAAGTTTCCGTGCATCACCATTAACTGCATTACACTCCATCCAAGCTGTGAACATTGAAGAAGCAACGGAGGGTTTGTCGAGAACATCGTGAATATCATCGTCTTCCCCATATACGATTTGTTGTTGACCAGGAAGATGAAAAGGAAGTCTAACCACAGAAGGATATCTGTAATGAACATCATATTTAAAAATTCTCCATGATGCTTCACATGCAGATAAATATCTACAGTCGTAATACTCATTTATTTCATCGACTACATCATTACTATCAGCTTCATTATTGCTTCGTACAACGGCAACTGTAGCTCTATCAGGTCCCTTGTTTATGTATTTGAATAAATACTTTATAGAAGAACCCTGATTGCACCATTCAACATTAATATGTGCCTGATATCTTTTCAATAGATATTTGTTGTATGGGACAACATTTCTATTATCCAATTTCACACCCGATTTTTCAACAAAATGACCATCATTTCTTCTCCTATATAATGGAAAACCATTCTGATCAACAGAGTTATGATTACAGAATTGTTTTGGAAAGTTTTTCGAACACTTGTTGTCGACCATGCATGGACAATTGATGTTTTCAGCTCCACATGGACCATGAATCATGAACTCTTGCACAAGTTTATACAACTCTGGATCTTCATCTATGTTTGGTATCTCAGCGGAAATTATCGTATCGATCAATTCAACAGTGGGTAACTTGTAGTCAGAATGCATAAATAAACATATATGACTATGCGGCAAACCTCTTTTTTGAAATTCAATTGTATAAACAACTGCAAAATATTTTGGAAAAAAAAATAAAAAATGATTATACCGTAAGGAAAAATATAAAAAATATGTAATAAAAATTATAACTTTTATCAATTATGAAGAAACATAATTTCAAATACCTGCTTGAACTATGCCGAAAATGTGATTCTCCCTTAGGTCTTTAATAAATGCATCAAGCTTGATCTTGAACAACCTACATAGTATATCAGGTCTGTCTTCTGGTTGAAGTGAAGTATCCTTAAGGAACCTTTTAACCTCTGGCCATTTGGGATTACACGTAAAGGTTATGAAGAAATCAGGATATCCAAACCATTTACATAGCGACATGGCATCCAAATAGTTTTGCAGCATATAACGCGCACCACCTGTGAAAGATGAAGGTAATATCACACGTTGGCCGATGTTGGAGATATTTGTAGTTCCTTGAGCTTTTTGTTTACTTAAATTCTCGTAAGACTCGCATCTAAGAACATGTTGTTGGCTACGTATGAAATACATTCTTTCACTTTCAATCATCGTATACGCATCTACCAAAAATTGTTGAAACAACCTTTTTGAATTAAGAATCAGTGAGAACGAATGATCTCTGTCTTGAATTCTGAAAGCGAAAAATTCTCTCATTGTACATTTCGAGCGCTTGTTGTTGGTTGTAGATTCAACACCTCTATGAAGAATATCAACGTTGTAACCATCATCCCCATATGGAAATAGTAGCGGATATTGGAGAGGAAGGTAAGAAGGATGCAATTCACTGATACGCTGTAGAAATCCCGATTTTGTCTGAACAACAATATCTCTATTTTCAACCGAATCAAAATTGTCACCTACAATTAAAGCGGCAACCTCAGAAGCAGTTGGTAGGTTATATGTCCTTCCATCTCGATCCCTTTTCCCGATAATTCTTAACTTCATATCAACTTCAGGATTTTTTTTAAAAGTATCTCTTACCATCCTATAAGAGCTAACCAAGACATTATTTGAATCTAACATCACCTTCAAATCTTGAATAATATCATTATCGATTGATGTAGATTGATGCTTTTCCCCACTATAAAAATTGAAAATATACATAATATTAGTAAAAAAATAAAAATAAAAAAAGATTAAACTTAAGTATGAATAAGAAGTTTGAAAATATACCCAAAGCATGTTTGTCTATTTGAAATTTCGTTCTCAGTATCATAAATGTATAACTGAGAGAATTTTGGTTGCGATCCATTTGGTGGTAAAAGGCTTCCAATAGTATGATAATTTTGACCACCAAGTCTGAAAATATATGGAGCATTTCCTCTATTGATTGAATAATCAATTTTACCACCCATTGACGTAAAAGAAAACATTGAATTGTAACGTCGAATGTTTTTCATGAAGTTTTTGCTTTTAGAATCCGTTGCTCTGAACATTCTTTCATAAGTTGGTGGTGCGTTCTTTAAATCTGGTAGTTGAACCTTGCCATAACCACAACATAATGAATAATTTGTGTTCCCTTTTTTTTTTTCCTCTTATGGATTCATTTGTCCATAATTTTGCATGACATGTTTGACATACAACAATTTGATCACCATGATCCAAATATTCTGTAAGAAAATAAAGTTGTTTTAGTAAAATATTTAATTTTATAAGTATATACAATATGATATTTCAGGTGTAAGATAAAAAATGGGTATATATATGTATTACCTTTGGAAATACCTACTATTAGGTTTTCATTATTGACTTCATGTACATCTTCTAGATCTGTTGTCAAGTCAATCAATGGAATAGGAGATAAATGTTCCAACTTCCTTTTTAATTTATGACATCCTGGATTTAACTTGATTGATGATGAAGAAGCAGTTATTGTAGATGCATTTCTTGAAGTCATGCCATTACGAAGTCCAGAGTAATGTATTTTATTTTGTAACGTTGAAGTAACATAGTTATTGAAACTAATATTAGCTGGAAAAAAGTAGTAAATATATATAAATATATTAGAAAGTGGTTAAAAGTAAATTTCAAAAACAAATATTATTACCGTTTGAAATGTTAGATAATGGAGTTCTAACATTTATACATGAAGGAGAAGATTGTAGGGGTGTACTTTGGTTTCCACGTGATCTATAGAAAAAGACATTTTCATTTTGTTGAACAACGTTTTTTGATTGATCTGTAAAAAACAACATGTTATAAAAATTGAAGACATATATTATAAATTAAAAATTACAATTTCAAATTTTATATTACTACAGGGGAATAATATAAAATGATGAGAATGTATGTATTTTTTATATAGGTTAATGAAGTGTAAAAATTAAAAAAAAAAAAAAAATTACAGTTATCCGTGTTTTTCAAGACATGTGGTGTAGACGGATTTTGAACAGTGTATTTTGTATTCCTTTTCTTCGATCTCTTATTATCCAAATATAATTTTCTATGTCTTCTGTTCTCTCTTGCTTGCAAGTAGTACATATTATTGTTTGTTCCTGCATAAAGAATAAAAGTTATCACCATGATCCAAATATTCTGTAAAATAAAAGCGTTGAATAAAATATCAATGAATTTTATAATTATATAGAACATAGTATCTGAAATGTAAAATGGATTTTATTTTTTCATTACCATTTGAGATACCAACTATACGATTTTCATTGTTCACTTGATGTATATTTTCTACATCTTCTGTCAAATCAATCAATGGGATAGGGGATAAATGTCTTGTCTTCGTTTTTAATTTATGACATCCTGGATTTAACTTGATTGATGATGAAGAAGTTGTTACTGTAGATGCATTTTTTGATGTCATATCATTTGAAAGTACATGGTACTGTCTTTTCTTTGCTAACTTGGAAGTGATATATTTATCGAAACCAATGTTATCTGAATAAAATAAAAATAAAATAGTTAACTAAATAAATAAATATTTACATAATGGATAATAGTATATTTTAAAAACCAAAAATAATTACCATTCGTAATGTTAGATAACGGATTTATAACATTTGTAATGTTAGAAAATGGAGTTCTAACATCTGTAAAGGAAGGACAGTATTGTATGGTTGTGTTATGCTTTGCAGGTGTTGTAAATGAATTGACATTTTGAGTTTGACGAACAATGTTGGTTGATTGATCTGCAAATAGAAATAACTTATAAAACTTGTAAATATATGTATTCAACTATATAATAGTAAAAGATGGAATATAAAATACTAATACGGTTATAGTTAATGGTTTTTTTGAAGAGATGCTGTAATGATATACTTGGAACGTTTGGTATTGTTTTTATTTTCTTCGATCTTTTATTTTCCAAATATATTTTTCTTTGTCTTCTTTTCTCTTTGGCCTGCATGTGGTACATGTTACTGTTGTTTTCTGCATAAGAAGACATAGGTTAGGAAATGAAATGTGAAATTATGTACATAATATGTTTATATAATACAATTGAAGTTAGTTAGAATTAAATAAATAATGATAATAAAGTAAATGTATTTAAAAAGTTACCTTTATTAATTTGTTTATTAAAATGTTAGCATCATGACTCATCATCCTCATTTCCAACCTAGGGTTTATTAGATTTAAATCTACTGTTTCCCCAATTTCAACCAATCGTGGGTTCGGATGATATCAGGGGTTAAAACCCTAGATCTCCATGGAATCAATGAAGGTAAAATTGTGTGATACACGATAATCGTGATGATTATAAATTGCTTATTGATCTTATGTATCTATTCAAGATTATATTTTTACAATTAGAAAAACATCTATTCCAGCATATTGATTATTGTTGTAAATTTCAACCATAAATTCATAGATAAAACAAAGTGATCTAAACTGATAATACTAACCTGACATATGGATATGGAAATCTTGCAGGTAGAACTGGAATGAGGATTACAACTTTAACGAAGCAGTTTGATGTAAGCTTAATGAAAAAAAAATCGCAGAAACAATTGAACATTAAGAAGACGAATGAGGTGTTTCAAAATTTTGGATTTCACGTTTTGAGTTAAAGTTATATGCTTGAATATTGGAAAAAGATTACGATTATATGATTTTATTGTTGTTGGATCTTTATTAGATATAATTTTCTTCCTGATTTTTTGGAATTTAAAAGATTACAACTAAAAATTAGTTTAATATTCAAATTTCATCTAAAAAAGGAGTATAGAATATTAGGAAATAGTTGGTTGAATATAGGTTATTTACAGAAGATAAGTAAATATGCTGCAACCATTACAAAAATGTATGAATTAATTTTAGAGAATGAAAGATATAAATTTTGTTTACAATTGGTTATTGATTATTTATTAAAAATAACATATTTATCGTGACAAAAATAATAGTTATTATAAATAATAGACATAAATGTTCCATGTTTAAAATAATCAACATAAAGATGCGAAGGTGATTATGGTTAATATTCATTATTGGAGTCAAATGCAGTTCACGTGTAAAAGCAAAAATGTTCGCATTTGGTAATACAAGTCAAAATTGGGTTTCGCATATGAGGTTGTATGGATTGGGGTTAAAGATTCGAAGGTGATTATGGTTAATATTCATTTCGTATTTGGTGAGACAAACAACTCAAATGCGAATGAAGTAAAAAAAAAATGACTGGAACATGCGAAGAAAGAGGGTGAATGAAGAATGTGAATTTTACAGTAGAATGCGAATTGGGGAAGAAAGCTAAGAATTTCGCATTTTTATTATACAAATTGATTGATTGATTGATTTGTCTTAATTGTTAATTGCGATATATGAAATACTTATCAATTTAGGGGCAATATCGTCATTTTGAAGTAAAATAAGCCTTGGTTATTAAATGAATCATACGAAGGATCTGTTATTTGATTTTGGAATTGGGGCGAATAATCGAACCATTTGGAGTTGCGAATTTGATTTTGAAAAGCCAATCAATTGGGTTCGCATATAAAACAGAAGTTTTGATTTTGGATTAGCAATTGGGTTAATTGGTTTATTGATTGAGGGACGATTCGTGAAGAAAAATGCGAAGTCAAGAAGGACTGTGAAATGTGATTTGTTCAATATTGGAGTCAAATGCAGTTCACGTGTAAAAGCAAAAATGTTCGCATTTT